GATAATACTCCCTAATAGTATCAGTATGGTGTGGAAATGACTACTTGGAAATAAATTTTAAGCTAGTACCGGCCATTCCCTATATTCCCTATTTTTGTTTTGTTACTATTTCTCTTTCCCTATAATATTCTTTGGTAACGAATTTTTAATCGATGTTGAACATTTTTTTTTACCATCCGTCAGTTTAACCAGGAACTAATTTCATGATTATTATATATTTTAATTTGCGAAATATTATACTTTATTTTCATTATTTTTTTATTATTATTCTTGTTTTTACATTACTTGGTTCTGAATTTTAAATCCATTGTGGTGTAAAACTTTTAATTAATTTTTCTTTAATTACCTTTAGTCTATTTTATAGTTTAAGTCTTTAACCGAATTTAGTTTTGGTTGATTTAACATTTATTGCTGAATTTTTAGTTTAATTTTGTTTTTCTTATTATATTTTAATACAATGTCTCAACCTCAAAGCGCCAGTGGCGTTCTTCCTAATTGTGTCCTCTGTAAAGATGCCATTTTGGAATCTGGATCTATGTATATCCCTCCTTGTGGTCATCCTTTACATTCATCTTGTTTGGGTAAAATCCCTAAAAACAATCTAGTTTGTCCTGTTTGCGAAGGCAAACTAAAGGCAACCCAACCACAAAGACCGGCAACTACTGGTAATGTTAATACACAACCTCCACCTACAATTGTGACACGAGCGCGTGCCCAGGCTCAAAGGGCTTTGGAATACGATAATAGTGTTCCACCTACAGATCCAAATATTTCTTTTATGTCAACTAGTTCTCCCAAGGTCAACGGGACCAACTACAGTCTATGGTTTCAGCTGCGGTTAGTGCTCAGCAAGCCGTAATGCTTACAACCCTTAGTCAACATTTGACAAAATTAATAGAATCCAACATTGAAGCTGGATTCCAAAGGTTAAATCTCAGTGCACAATCGCCTGGTAATACCCCGACACAAATTCAACCATCAGTTTCTAATCAAAACCCACAAATTCTAACATTGCCAGCCGTAGAGCAACAAACTCTGGAACAGTTGTTAGGTTTACCAGCAAATAGAAATCCTTCGGTTCAAAATACTACAGTTAGTAATGCGTCGACAACAAATTCGTCGTTAAGGTCGGACAAGGTAGGACATATCATCCTATAATTGGAAGATACGTTTTACTGGGGACTGTAAGGGTATCCCAGTGGAAAATTTTATTTATAGAGTTGAAGCTTTAACGAAGCAAACTTTGGGTGGGAATTTTGAGGTTCTTTGTGACCATATTTCGACTCTGTTTGAGTCCAAAGCCTCTGACTGGTTCTGGCGATACCACAAAGCTGCTCGGAGAATCGTGTGGCCAGATCTTTGCAGTGCTCTTCGCGAACAATACAAAGATTCGCGCACTGACGTAGATTTTCGTGAAATGATTCGTGACCGGAAACAAAAACCAGGAGAGGGTTTCGACCTGTTTTATGAGGCCATAATTGATATTTCTGATCGCCTTAGGATTCCTCTTCCTGAACGGGTGCTAGTGGAAATTTTACGCCGTAATCTACTGCCAGAAATTCAACACGAATTGTTAAATTTGGAAATTAACTCAATTTCCCAACTTCGCGACATATGTCGTAAACGGGAATTCTTCATGCAAGATGTAGGGAAAAAGCATGGATTTTCCAAATCGTTTATTCCACGCAGACAAGTCTATGAGATGTATGAAGATGATGTCGAAACATCAGACGAAGAAATCTCTGCAATTTCTCTCGTTTGCTGGAATTGCCAGAAATCGGGTCATAGATTCCAAGATTGCCTCGATGAAAGACGGGTATTTTGCTATGGTTGCGGAGCAGCCAATGCCTATAAGCCAACCTGTACAAACTGTACTGGTTCAAAAAACTTGCGGTCCAGTGCACCGAAAAGTGCACGCAAACCGACCCGATCAACATACACCAACACCGACTAGAACCAACAACTTCATCAATCAATTCAAGTTCGAGTTTAGATAATTCTTTATCTAAACCGATTAAACACCCTGACATACAAATTTCAGTAAATCATTCTTCCGAATGTAATTCTGAAACACCTATAGTGACCATTAATGAATCCAATTCCAAACCTAATTCTATAACACCTGCTCCAGACTTAAAAATTCATCCACCTACGTATTTTAAACCATTTCACATTCGTTTGGCCGAATACAATGCTGCTAGAAAACGCATTTTTAGTGATTACTCTCCAAATTCAAGAACAACACGGTCTACTAAGCGTGTCAAGAATTTTTGGGGTAAAATTAAGTATACTCGTCGTAAACTATTAAGTTCTATTTACGATAAGCCCAATGATATTCGTCCATATGCGGAAGTTCAGCTTTTTGGTAAAACGATGATGGGTTTGTTGGATACCGGAGCTTCGATTAGTTGTTTAGGCGCTCAAGCTGCGACAGAATTTCTTGATTCTGGTCGCCAATTTAAAAAAATACGATCCGCCGTTAAGACAGCTGACGGGAAATCCCAAAATGTGGTAGGTTTTATAAACACGAACATCGCTTTTAGGGGTAAAATGGAACCCATAACATTATATATTGTCCCAACATTAGCCCAAAACTTATATTTAGGTGTAGATTTTTGGCATAGTTTTGATTTGTTGCCACCAGGAATAGTTTCCGAATTACATTCAGATCTATTGCCTAAGGGTACCTCGAGCATTTCAGACCAGAGACCACTTAGCGTAACTCAGAAACAACAACTTCAAATTGTGATCAACTCGTTTCCCATCGTTTTCCAAAGAGGGTTTAGGCAGAACTAGTGTAATTTCTCACGTCATTGACGTTGGTTCTGCCACCCCGATAAAACAACGTCATTTCCCGGTATCTCCTGCTATGGAAAAGTTAATATACGCAGAACTTGACCGGATGTTGGAAAACGATGTCATCGAAGAATCTGACAGCGCGTGGTCTTCCCCAATAGTTTTGGTCCGGAAGCCAGGAAAAGTTAGGTTATGTTTAGATAGCCGCAAGGTCAATTCGGTGACAATCAAGGATGCTTATCCTTTGCCCAATATCGACGGGATCCTTAGTCGTTTGCCTAAGGCTGAGTTCATAACCAGCTTAGATTTAAAAGATGCCTTCTGGCAAATCCCGTTGGATAAATCGTCGAAAGATAAGACAGCATTTACGGTTCCCGGCCGTCCTTTGTACCATTACAAGGTCATGCCTTTTGGGCTATGTAATGCGCCTCAGACGATGTCGAGGCTAATGGACAAAGTGATACCGGCGAATTTGCGAACCGAAGTGTTTGTCTATCTGGACGATTTATTGATAGTGTCAGATACTTTTTCCAGACATATGGAGGTGTTGCGAGAAATTTCAAAACAAATTCGTTCTGCAGGACTGACAATAAATGTTGAAAAATCTAAATTTTGCGTACAGGAAGTCCGTTATCTTGGCCATTTAGTGGGTAATGGGGTAATTCAGACAGACCCGGAGAAAATATCGGCCATTGTTGAATTCCCGACACCGAGGTCTGTAAAACAACTACGACGATTTTTAGGGATGTCCGGTTGGTATCGGAAGTTCATCAAGAATTACGCTGCGGTTACTTCACCTTTAACCGATTTGTTAAAGACCAGTAGGAAGTTTATATGGAGCGAAGAAGCTCAGAAGTCCTTTGATGAATTGAAGAACATCTTGACAACTGCACCAGTGTTGCATAGTCCCGATTTCTCACAGCCATTTTTCATACACTGTGATGCTAGCCACACTGGAATAGGAAGTGTATTGGTACAAAAGAATGCGGAGGGTGAAGAGTTTCCGATAGCATTTATGTCTAAGAAGCTCAACCAAGCCCAACGTAACTACTCTGTTACCGAACAGGAATGTTTAGCAGCAATGTTGAGCATTAAGAAGTTTCGAGCGTATGTGGAAGGACACGAGTTCACCGTGATCACTGACCATGCATCTCTAAAGTGGCTCATGTCCCAAACAGATCTCAATTCGCGGTTGGCAAGATGGGCTTTAAAGCTTCAAGGATTTAGATTTAAAATTGAACATCGGAAAGGTAGCCAAAACGTAGTTCCTGATGCACTTTCGCGTACTAACACTGAAGATTTGTCTGAAATAAACTGCTTAAGTTTGTCCGCTTTAGATGACTCAGGGGTCTTCGTGGATCTACAATCCGAAAAATTCAAGAGTACTGACTACCTACAACTTTTAGACAGAGTTAGGGAAAACATTATCAAAACTCCAGACCTTAAAATTGTTGACGGATACTTGTACAGACGTACTGAACACTGTTCCGGGGAACAGCTGCAGGACGATCTTGCTTGGAAACTTTGGATACCCAAAGATATGGTTAGGGAAGTTTTGGAAAAGGCACATGATAGCCACTTATCATCTCATGGCGGAATCAATAAAACTCTAGAACGAATTCGTAGGTTCTACTTTTGGCCTAATTTAGTGAACGATGTAAGATCTTACATTAACTCTTGCGACGTTTGTAAGGGAACTAAGCACCCAAATTTCGTTATGCGTCCACCTATGGGTAAAACCTCGGAAACGTCCTAGATTCTTCCAGAAACTTTACGTTGACTTTCTTGGTCCCTATCCACGTTCGAAATCAGGTAACGTTGGTATTTTTGTAGTGCTAGATCACTTTTCCAAATTTAGTTTTCTGAAAGCCGTGAAAAAGTTTACAGCAGACGTCGTGGTTAAATATTTGGAAGAAGACCTGTTTCATACATTTGGTACGCCTGAGACTATCGTTTCTGATAACGGTTCGCAGTTTAAGTCTACTCAATTTAACAAGCTTTTGTCTAATTACGCGATAAAACACGTTTACACCGCGGTACACTCGCCCCAAGCAAATGCCTCAGAACGGGTTAATCGTTCAGTGCTATCGGCAATAAGGGCTTATATCAAACACGATCAAAGTAATTGGGATGAATACCTCAGCAGCATTAGTTGTTCTCTACGGTCATCTGTGCATGCTTCTATAGGTACATCACCTTATTACATGGCGTTCGGACAGCATATGATTACCAACGGTAATACTTATGCACTTCTTCGAAAACTTGAAATGCTTGACGATAGGGAAGTGAAATTTAACCGTGAAGATTCGTTTAACATCATACGTGATAGAGCCGCAAAGAATATGAATCGACAACAAGAGCGTAATGAAAGATCTTACAATCTGCGATCGCGTGAGGTAAATTATATTGTAGGGCAAGAAGTTTTCCGAAGAAACTTTAGCCAAAGTAACTTTGAAAAGGGTTACAATGCAAAACTATCGCCACCGTTTCTTAAAGCACGCATTAAGGCGAAAACCGGAAATTGCTATTACGAATTGGAAGATTTAAATGGTCGTTCTCTAGGTGTATACCACGCAAAGGACATACGTCAATAACCTTGTTTTTCATTTTGTTATTTTTTTTTATTATACCACTACAAGCGGTATCAGCTTTGTGCTGCTTGTTAGCTCCCAAATCTGATTTTGGTTGGGGGGTTATGTAGGGGCGCTTGTAGTAGAAAGCAATGATTTTATGTATTGTTATTTCAAAATTGTAATTTTATTGAACAACTTTTCTGTTGAGAAGAGTTCTATTTGAATTTAACGGTTTTTGGAGATTTGGTTTCAAATGACATTTCAATTTGTTGACAGCTTGTATTAAATGATAATGCAGTGCTGTTGTCAAAAGATAAAAGGAAGACATTTTCGATATATATTTTGGTATTGGTTTTTCTTATTTTGTATGTGTTAGTTTTTGCTGAAAAAACATTAGATTTCCAAATTTACCAAAATTTTTCTCTCAAATATTGGGTATAAAAAGGAAGCCATTGCCCAAAATCTTTCCTTTTTGCCTGCTGCTACCTACCAGTTTTCTTAAAAAAAAAAAAAAAACGTCGTTACTCTGCCGGAAAATTTATAAAAAAAAAATAAAGAAGTTTTTTTTTGAAATTGTAAGTTTTTATCCTGTTTCAATTATCCTTCGAATTTAATTCATGTTAAACAATTCAGTGTTAAACAATTTTTTTTAAGTTTTAAATAAATTTGGCTTAAATTGTTCGCATTTCGTGAAAGGATCTTTTGGATTTTATATCCACAAAATTATCTGTAACAGGATAATAAAATAATGTAAGTTTTGTTTTCTAAAGGAAAACTTGAGAAAAATCCATTTTTTTTTTTCAAATCAGTTTTTTATTTTTCTAATTTTTTTAACGCAGTAACGCCAATTTCACAAATTTCAACTCAAAAGTAGGCAGAAAGTTTTTTTTTATTTTACCCAGCGGCAACAAAAGTCAAAGAAAAAGAAAATCGTTTGTTTTTATTTACAAAAAGGTAATAATTAACATAAAGAAAACAAAACACACACATACAAACTAACATAACCAAAACCAAAATATCTTTACAGCACACAAACACACCTACGTCAATTTGATATATTTGACAAAATTCTTCCTAGCGACGAAACCTCCAGGCACAAAATCTTCGCCTGGGAAGGCTTCGTCCACAATCGTGCCTTCTTCGGCGTAAAATCAAACCTTCAGGGAAAGCTTTAGGTTGCAATACTAAGGTCTTAGAGACGAGGAGAAAAGTGTGAAAAGTGCGGGGAAAATGTCAACTGTTTAAAAAAAAAAAAATAAATCCAAAAGAAAACTCCAAAGTTATAATAAAAATCAGAAAATAATCTGTGTGAAAGTTCGTGGAGAGTATTTTTGAAAATTTCCTAAAAAGTTTCACAAAAATTTTTAATTATTTAGAAAAAGAAAAATTTAAAAACTAAAAAAAAAAAACACTAAAAACCTTAAAAGAATCAACAAGAAGAACAAGAAAAATAACAAAAAGAAACAAAGTTTAAATATTAATCTTTATTTAATCAAATTTTAAAATTTTTACAAAATGTGGTTATAAATTAATTCGTAAAATATTGATTGTTCTTAAATCTATCACTTTTTTTTTACTTTTTTTTTAATTATTTTATTTTTTTTTTCGTAATATCTAACTAAATCACTTTTTTTGTTGATCACTCGCGACAGAAAACTAAAGAAACTAAATGTAATGCAAAAATCAATATGTATTGTTAGTGGTGAAAAATTAAAAATGTATAAAAATATTTAAAAGCAAGTGTCAAAATAATCTAAAAACAAAAATATTAGTAAAAAAGAAAAAAAAAAAAACATTGAGTTCAAATGTTAATAACATAAAATGTTAATCTGTAATTTTAAACACATAAATTTTTAAAAATTTCAACAAAATTATATACACAAACATCTACAGGAAGCAGACGAAAGATCTTTCGACGTGGGATCCTGGTAAATGTAAGTTTAGTTGCTCATTTTTTTATGTTATTTTCATTTTTTTCTTTTAAACAAACAAAATATTAATAAAAACACATAACATCCACTGATACGTACATACAGAATGTTTAGTAAGTAAATATTGTTAACAAAAAATTCGTTAACATGAGTGTAATTGTTAAAATCATCTTATATCAGTGTATGTAAGTAATGTCTTTTATTTATTCTCAAATACATTTAATATTTTACATTTCTGTAATTACGTGAATGTTATTACATGTAAATTACATAAATGTCTAATTAACTAAATAACCCATAATTTTTCAAAACTCACCATAGTCTAGAGGATTGAGTTGTAATTTACCACTCATTAGGCCCTGGTTCGAATCCCAGTGAGGGCAAAGTAATTTTTAATTTTTTTTTTTTTTTTTGTAAGCCCAGGTTCGAATCCCGGACGAGTTAAATATTTTTGTTTTTATTTTTTTTTTTGCTTTGAGACCCAAGTTCGAATCCCGATTAAACCCATTTTTTTTTTGAAAAAATATTTTTTTTAAATATTGATTTTTGCAAAAAGATTGTTTTTACGCGATCTTCTCTAATTTTAATATGTTCAATATTAGTTAATTTTTTTATATTAAACATTATGTTTAAGGATTTATTTTTGTTAATAAATAACATGAATTTCAAAATGCAGTTCTAAACTGTCTTTAACTGGTTCCTGGTGAACTGTTCTGGTTAGGGTAATAATCTTTGGGATCATACTTAATACCAACAGCATTTCCCTAGTATGATCATGGTTGGGAGGGGATAAAAGACACTGTGTTACCACCTTCACACAGTGCAGTTCAATATGTTAAATGTTCGTTTCCGTTTTCCTGTGTATTAGTCTCCCTTTCTCTTTTCTTTTCTTTGTTCATTTCTGTTTTTCCCTACTTTAAGCACGCACAAAATAAAATAATAAATACTGTGCATGTCGACGTTTACTCTACTTAAAGTAGCAACGAATCCTCCCGATTGCCGACGAGATAGAAGCCGGAAACTAGTTGCGTGCTGGCTGCTTTAGTAGAGACAAGAGAGAACTCTGACACCATCAGATCAGTTGTATGCTACATTATTATTTTTGGCGCCCAACGTGGGGCCCACACAGTTCATTTAAATCTCAAACTACCATCATTTGAATTTACAAAATTCATGTTTTTGTGTGGTCCTCTTTATTAATGTAAATTTTCAATTCTTTTTTTTATGTTTTTCTCATTCTGCTTCCTTAATTTCCATTTTCTAGTATGGTTAACTAATTGTCTGGAATTTACATGTGTTCTCTTTTTATGCTGTTAACCGACATTAATGTTAATCATACGTTCTCTTATTTGTTGAGTGTTATTGATTTGACAATTCACTTCCTGGAATTGCTGATTTTTGGAGTTCGATCTAAAAACTGACCGGAAACTGAATAGTCAATATTGATAATACTCCCTAATAGTATCAGTATGGTGTGGAAATGACTACTTGGAAATAAATTTTAAGCTAGTACCGGCCATTCCCTATATTCCCTATTTTTTGTTTTGTTACTATTTCTCTTTCCCTATAATATTCTTTGGTAACGAATTTTTAATCGATGTTGAACATTTTTTTTTACCATCCGTCAGTTTAACCAGGAACTAATTTCATGATTATTATATATTTTAATTTGCGAAATATTTATTATTTTCATTATTTTTTTATTATTATTCTTGTTTTTACATTACTTGGTTCTGAATTTTAAATCCATTGTGGTGTAAAACTTTTAATTAATTTTTCTTTAATTACCTTTAGTCTATTTTATAGTTTAAGTCTTTAACCGAATTTAGTTTTGGTTGATTTAACATTTATTGCTGAATTTTTAGTTTAATTTTGTTTTTCTTATTATATTTTAATACAATGTCTCAACCTCAAAGCGCCAGTGGCGTTCTTCCTAATTGTGTCCTCTGTAAAGATGCCATTTTGGAATCTGGATCTATGTATATCCCTCCTTGTGGTCATCCTTTACATTCATCTTGTTTGGGTAAAATCCCTAAAAACAATCTAGTTTGTCCTGTTTGCGAAGGCAAACTAAAGGCAACCCAACCACAAAGACCGGCAACTACTGGTAATGTTAATACACAACCTCCACCTACAATTGTGACACGAGCGCGTGCCCAGGCTCAAAGGGCTTTGGAATACGATAATAGTGTTCCACCTACAGATCCAAATATTTCTTTTATGTCAACTAGTTCTCCCAAGGTCAACGGGACCAACTACAGTCTATGGTTTCAGCTGCGGTTAGTGCTCAGCAAGCCGTAATGCTTACAACCCTTAGTCAACATTTGACAAAATTAATAGAATCCAACATTGAAGCTGGATTCCAAAGGTTAAATCTCAGTGCACAATCGCCTGGTAATACCCCGACACAAATTCAACCATCAGTTTCTAATCAAAACCCACAAATTCTAACATTGCCAGCCGTAGAGCAACAAACTCTGGAACAGTTGTTAGGTTTACCAGCAAATAGAAATCCTTCGGTTCAAAATACTACAGTTAGTAATGCGTCGACAACAAATTCGTCGTTAAGGTCGGACAAGGTAGGACATATCATCCATAATTGGAAGATACGTTTTACTGGGGACTGTAAGGGTATCCCAGTGGAAAATTTTATTTATAGAGTTGAAGCTAGCACTATTATTTTCATCCATATATGTAACAAATTTAAGAGTTAACCTTATGGATGAAAATAATAGTGCTAGGCAAATTTTCTAAAAGATGTTGAGTTTTCCCTAATTAATTTGTCACTTAAAAAACATTAGGTAGGCATGTTATATATCAATGGAAAGGTAATTTTGTCTATTTTTCAAAACTGTATATAATTTTTGAAAATTAAAAAATTCGCGGAATACTTTTTTTAAAAAAAATTAAAAAATGTTTTTTATTCAGTTTTTGCGAAGATACAAATTTTTCAAATTGCAATAAAAATTTTATTTATGAATATTTTTTGATGAAATTTTACAGTTAGGTAGATTTTTTTACTCAAAATCCAAAATTAAATAAAAATTTTGAATTTTCTTATTAGAAATCCCGGAATTCCCAAAAAAGTTT